TATGGACCCATCCTTTTCCCTAGGGCAGATAGTTCAAGTGTGTATTATATAATAAATCGGATCCGTTTTCCTATTTGCGGTCATAAATTCTTTCTAGTTTCATAAATAATTTAAATTGCGTTTTGAAAAGGTGAAAGAGATGACTTTAATTTATTTTAGTTGTTTTCCGTACGTGCAATATGAATACGGGCCAGCTTCTCTCAAAAAGCCTTTTATGGACCCATCCTTTTCCCTAGGGCAGATAGTTCAAGTGTGTATTATATAATAAATCGGATCCGTTTTCCTATTTGCGGTCATAAATTCTTTCTAGTTTCATAAATAATTTAAATTGCGTTTTGAAAAGGTGAAAGAGATGACTTCAATTTATTTTAGTTGTTTTCCGTACTTGCAGTATGAATACGGGCCAGCTTCTCTCAAAAAGCCTTTTATGGACCCATCCTTTTCCCTAGGGCAGATAGTTCAAGTGTGTATTATATAATAAATCGGATCCGTTTTCCTATTTGCGGTCATAAATTCTTTCTAGTTTCATAAATAATTTAAATTGCGTTTTGAAAAGGTGAAAGAGATGACTTCAATTTATTATAGTTGTTTTCCGTGCGTGCAATATGAATACGGGCCAGCTTCTCTCAAAAAGCCTGTTATGGACCCATCCTTTTCCCTAGGGCAGATAGTTCAAGTGTGTATTATATAATAAATCGGATCCGTTTTCCTATTTGCGGTCATAAATTCTTTTTAGTTTCATAAATAATTTAAATTGCGTTTTGAAAAGGAGTTTTTGCGAGGTTTTCTAAATCTAAAATTATAGAAATATAAATTTCTTGGTTAAAACTATTGTTTGTAGAAGTTTCTTATTCTTACCTTCCAAAACCGACAACTCCGCCGCCATACATTCACACGCAAAGAAGAGACTACGGATATTTATTTTATGTTACATTTAATTTTATTTATTTACTTCTTCCTATTATAATTATTTTAGTTTTAAATGAAAAGAAATAAAACGTATTACAAATTTCCGCGCATCAGTATGCAAGAGATTAATAAACTGTAAGCGGAAAAAAAAAAAGTGGATTTTACCTGTATCATTGCCCCATCCTAAAATTGATAAATTTCATTGGGAAAAGAAAGCACATCAAACTGCTTGAAGTAAAGAAATATCTAGACTTTTGTAAGGTTAAATTCAATTAATTATTAAACCATATTTTTTAAACATTGTGTTTTATACGAATTCTGATCTTCGCACTTAAAAGTCTATAAAGCTCTTAAGAATATAAAACTTAAACTAAAAGGTTTATAAAAAGCTATATTTTGTAGTAAAATTAAAATTTAACAGAACTACCACGACTACCTGCAGAATCTTAGAAATACAAATATTTAAATGTACACAATGCAACAGTTAACTATCAGTTGCTCTCGAAATAGCAAGATCTCTCTCTTTTTATGCAATAAATTTATTTCCTATTTAAATTCAATTCTAATTTGCATTCTGGACGACGGAAGAAATAGAGGGTATGGAAAGCATTAGCATTAAAAAAATGTATTAGCGAAAATAAATCTTAAATAATATCAGTTCCTAATGAAGAGGTATACTCTTCTTTATCTTCCTTAAAGTAAAAAAATATATACATTTGAAAGATTTCAAATTTTAACTGTCGCCCAAAAGGGTTTGTTAAGGTTTTAACCCTCTCGCTGAGCTCACAGTCTACTAGTCCGCTGTTAACTCGCTCCTACTAACCTCCTTTTCTTACCTTTTTCTAATTTTTTAAGCATCATTTTCATTACGCCATATGCAATTCAACAGCAAATGTACAAAAATTTTAAATGCTGCATAGCAGTACGCGTTTAGAATTCCCGATGCACCGTTAATTGTTGACATTTTTTTCCAGTTTTTCCCCTCACATCATCATATCATGTTCAGTGGTGGTTTTTTTTTATATTATTAATTTATTTATATTTTTTTTTGTCTTTATATTATTAACGTTTTGTGTGTGTATACTTTATTAAATATCACGTTCTTGGCGCTTACGCATATAAAACTTGATTCAACAACAAAATCACAGAATATTTAAAAACTAAAATATCTAAAGCAAAGCTTTTAGAATTTCCGGCAGACAGTCACTCGCGCTGGAGATAAAAATGTTTTATTCCGTACAGTGTTGCCACAGCTCGCTTTCAAATCGTTGAGTTTATTAGTCAAAAATTCAGTAAAGTTTTATAATGTATGAAATAAATAAATAATAATAAAACAAATTCGAAATTAAAAGTTCGGGCTTCCAGATGTCCGTGTTCGGAGGACTACGTTATTCAAAATTCGATGGCTCTAGGTACCGTTGTTTCTTCACAGTGCTAGAAACACATACATTAATGCGGATTCTTCATTATTTTAATTTCTTTAAATGTAACAGAGGGCGTGGTGGCAATAGTTTTCAAAGTAATTTTAAGTATTTCAAAGGAAAATTCCGTTTCCAAACTAATATCCCGTTCGGGACTAACGTTCTTTTTGGTCTAAAAACGAAAGCGAGAAAGAAGAAAAAGAGAATCAACCTGTTTCTTTTCTGATGTGTGATTCGGCCAAACGTATAGTTGCCAAAGAAATGTTGTAAGGGTTTTAATTTTCAAGGAAAACTGTACGTCTGTCAAGAATTCAAGCTTGTATTTCAGTTCTTATTAATGGCTGAGCTATAAACTCATTCAATGTCGTTTTAATAATAGATCTATAACTTGTTCAGTAAGTAAGATGGTATAAGCAGTTTTAAACTTTAAAAGCAACAATAAAAAAGATGTGTTTAAATTTGTTTCTCCTGGTCTTTTAACTGTTGTTTGACAGCAATTTAGAATTTTAATATTGCAGTCTTGCCGTTAGGCGAATGCTAAATTGATAAGAATATAGCATGATGCAGATAATCAGAAAATATCATCACTGTACTATGTTTTATTTCCGATAAACGCCTTCAGGCGAACGCTACGTTGATTAGCATATACAATGAAGAAAGCCAGAGAGTATAGTATATAATTTTTGCGTTTTTCTCGTAAAGTTCAAATATAATTTATTTTAAACTTTAAAAAGTATAAGCCGAGGAGGTGAGGACTTGTTTATTATTAAAGGTTAAAGAAGGTTGAAAGTATTAACTGGAGTATTTTCTATCTCGGTTTTCATATCAGTTTTGAGAAGAAGCATTTTCTAAAGTCAGTAGGCGAATAATTTCATAAAAAATATGTCACTTTCAAGGGGAAAAAAGAAGTAATTAAGATTATAAATAATTTTATCCTTAAAAATTATCTTAAAAGTCTGGTTAAATTTCTACTTATTATCCTAATAAAGTTATGGGCGTAATTCACTTATCTTGTTGCTTGTGAAAGTATGGCAAAAGAACAGCTGGTGAGATATCATACGGAAGGATGCCAGACCGTTTTGTAGAAAGTTACTGACTGTTTCAATGACGTCATATATCTGAGATCATCTTTTCATAGGATCCGTGATCGGACGATAGTCTGATTCGATATGGAACCCACATAAAACATTTCGATAGAAAAACCAGCTAATTCTGTCTCATTATGTCAGCAACAATGGCACGCAGTTTTTCATGACTTTCGTCTTTCTAATCAAATGGTCGTAAAAGCTCAAGTTCCATCCAATATTTCACCTATACTCAATTTTAGTAAATAAATATGAAAACAAATTTATCATAATTCATCAGAAATCAATAACGCGAACAAACACACAAACAGGTATTCTTCTTTATATGCATATATTTTGCAAAACATACAAATTTTTAATTAACAGACTCTACGATTTGAAAGCGAGCAGTAGCAACACTTTTCGAAATAAAGCACTTTTATCTCCAACGCGCGAGACTGTTGTCACTTGGAAAAATGAGTGCGAAAATTAGCGCTTTCAGAGTTTTTAATTAGTATTTCGGCTGATTAAATTCGTACGAAGATGGGAATAGTCAAAATGGCTTCCACGAATTTTTGGAATCGGGAATAATGTATTTAATGTTTGCCAATGCTATTTTTATTTTATCGTAAAACTTAGAAATCTTTTATTAACAAACTCTAAGATTTAAAAACCAGCAGTGGCAGCAACTTTCGGAATAAAGCAGATTTTCATCTCCAGCTTAAGAGACCGTTGCCATTTGGAAAAATTAGGACGAAATTTAACGTTTCAGTGTTTTTAATAATTTATATCTTGATTTTTGCTACTTTTTTTTGGAAAAAAATGGACGTCGACCTTTTCCAGGACCCAGAAAAGAATTGTAGAAAATTTTTTGACGATAGCTGAGTTATTAGAGGACAACCAAACACACAAACTTTCTTCTTTTATATACGTATATAGATAAACATTCTGAAGAAATATTTGCAATGGCATTCGTCATAATGTAACTAATAATAAATTGATATATAGATATTAGTATTTTTATAGATGCAAAAAAATTAAACTAAGAACGAAAAATGGTCGAATTTTGGTACTTAAATTTACATGTTTAAGTCATTAGTAATGAATAAAAATTAATTTAAAAAAATATATATATCTAAATAACATTAAGTAGTGATAAATAAAATTTCGACAGTTACTAAAGGTTTTCTTAAATATTTTCTACAAAGGATGCACAGATGTATAATTTACTTAATATTACAGACTTGTGCTTTTATTGTAGAAAAGTACCATGAATACGTTGTATGAAAACACTCTGAAATTCTAACAGTTTTTAATCAACTCAAATTATTGCAATTCAAATGCGCGTAATTATGACTCTGAAAACTTCAGTTATTTCCTTAAATCTATTGATGTTATAAAACTGAGTATTATATTTTACATTAGTTAATTTAGCTGGCAACTAAAGAATCTTCAGATTTTAAAAGACAGAATTTGGACACATTCTACAAAATTTTAAATGATCAAAATAAATAAATAAATAAATGTATGCGCCTACACATTTGAACAGAATTAATGATACACGATAATTCAAATAATTCCTATTAAAAAATAGTTTGAATAGTACCTTATATTTTACATCTCATAATATACAAACCGCATTTTATCTTCTGCTACATCTCCAGGGATAATATCACAATGAATTTGACTCCCATTTCAAAAATCATCAGCTGCGTTTTCTTTCATATTCTGTATGTGTTGAAGTTACAATTTCATATTCTGTATGTCTTGAAGTTACAATTAATGCAACTGCCACTGAAAAAAAAATCACCTTCATTCTACTTCTTATTCCGCTTCTCATAATAAAGTTACAGTTGGCGTCATTCGCATTGCAAAAAATTCGTCTGCATTTTAATTTTTAAATTTTCTTAAAAAAATTCAACCAGCAGAAAACACATTGCAAAAAATCGTCTGCATTCATTATATATTCCGCTTCATGCTTATTATAAAAATTGTGTATATTTAAATAATTTTAACTAAACGAAATATTTCGTTTCTCTTTATAACAGTGTTTGAATGAACTATAATTGAGTAGCAAAGGAGGAAAATGCTTTTGTAAAGTTGTAACCAAAATAATCTTTTCAAATAAGTGATTTAAGCATAAATTGAAAATAATGAAATAAATTAATATCTCCGACCCACCTATGAACGCACTTCATTTATTAAAAAATTAAATTGATTAGTAACCTATAATAAATATAAAATTAATAATCTATAATTAAAATGCTGATGTTAATTTAAAATATTCACAAAGGTCAGATAATCATGTTGCCCCTAAAAACATATTTTGCTTTACATTTTTTTTTAGGCTGACTCAGCATTATAAATCAAACTCTGCGAAAGCTGAAAAACAGAAAATAAACAAGTATGAAACTGGAACACCTGTTCTTCTCCAGATACGAACTTAGTGAAATCTGCCAAACATTCTTCGCTTACCTGTTAAACAGAGAGTAGTACATCACACACGCACGTCATAAAAGTGACCTTTATCTTAATGTAAATTTATTTATTAACTTTCAGCCATAAATCGTACTAACAGTGGAATTTTTAGAATCAGAAATGCCGTTCGTTAAAATTAAAAGTAATTTTCATATGATTATGTATGCTGGAAGTTCTTTTAATGTGAAATATTTTCAAATTTTTATTTACTCTTTCAAAACATTGACAAAATCTTCTTATGCTTTTAATCTGCACATTTTAAAATGGTTATTTATGCCGTATTCTTTTCAAATATATTTGGTATTTTGTAATAAAATAATTTTCTCTTACAATTTTTAATATGAAATTGACATCATTATTGAGCTAGTATATTTCATACTAGAAATTATATATTTATTTTAAATAAAATTTATTAAAAAGCACTATTTTATCCATCAATGCTGTTGAAACTGTTCAAATTCCTTTTGTAAGGAGACAACGTAACCGTTGCCAAATACTAATGTTTAATTGTATATTGTTTATGACGCGCTCTAAAACAGATACGTGTTCTTTAATTATAAATTCTAAAACACATAGAGTACTCTCTCGTTATAATGCAGTGGTATAGCTGCCAAATCTTTCGTTCTTATGCAAATACCATTCTTCCAGCTCTAAGATTTCTGGTATAATTTTTCTCAAGAAATTTTATTTAATCTAAATTATGTTAGATCTGACCTGATGTGAATTATGCTCATATTCACGTTACACGTGATTAAAACCAATCGTGCCACTAACATGTTTGCCAGAGTTCGAATTCTAGTTGAACTACCAGTATTTAACGGTTTTGACTACTTGGCCTCTAGTTGGGTTCAAAACAAGATGCTAGACGTAAGAAATAGTTTCGCGTCAATGGGGCCAAAAACAATCTGCTAATTAATAAAGCACATTATGAGGAACAAATTACCGCTTGAAGAGACATCAAACTATTCCAACAAAAGCTGTTAGCATTCTAATGAACTTTTATTTTCGCTTAATCATGTGAACGTATTCGACTGCACGCATTCTCAAACATTCCAATTCCTTTTAGAAATTTGAAGAAGCTCGCATTTGTTAACGCATCGACTCTTCACCTGTATTGAAACTATTCACTTGCTGTTGTTCATACACCACTTGCTAAGAATCGACTTAGTTTATGCAGAACTATTAAATTACAAATAGTCTGTTACCAAAATTGAGAGAAGTTTTCACATTTGGCTTATTATCGCCATAACTGATGTATAGATTTTAATGAAATTCAGTACGGACACAGGCGAATATAATAGGAAGATACAACAGTCATCGTGATATTCATACATGATCGTACGTAAGGCTTATCGGTGTAGAAAGCTATAAAAGCATAAGTTTCAAAATTAAACAAAAAAGAAGGCTAATAGGAGATTCAGGTCTTGTGGGGTTCAGAGTACGAAAAGACGAGTTACATTTAGTCTCCCAAGACTCAAACATATTCTATAAGGTCTGGAGATTAGCTAGCTAATCCAATAGGTTAACAGCTCCACTCTGTGGAAAATCACGCATCAGATTATCCCTATGTGGACGAATATTTGAAGATTTAGCTAGCTAATCCAACAGGTTAATAACCCCACTTTCTGGAAAATCATCCACCAGATTATCCCTATGTAGACGAATATCTGGAGATTTAGCTAGCTAATCCAATGGGTTAATAGCCCCATGGAAAATCATCTACCAGATTACTGCTATGTGGACGAATGTTGTCGTTCAGAAAAATGAACTGACAGCCAACTGCACCTCTGAAAAGGCGAACACGGGGACCTAAGATATCGCGTGTTTTGCAAAAATACTTGCTGTTTACATACCGCTTATTTCTGCACGCAAGAGAAACCGCTTAGCAGAAAGCCAAGAACGTCAGCTTCAGATCAAGCGTCAGGAAGGAACGATTCCCTTCACATATGAGTCCCAATTCAACGTAACCACTGACTATGGACTTACCTTCATCTGAAGAGAACCAGAAATCTGCTGTCGATCCTCCAACATCTGAGAAAATGACCACTATGGCAACCAAGGCGTGAGATGGTCTGGGCAGACCTTTATGTTGAAAGCACACACAGATTTTAAGTCTCTGAAAGAGGTTCTGGAATACTGTGAGGTAAAAATAAGAGATCTCAGCCCTATGCTCACCTTTCCAGAACTGCAACTTCATTTTTATGGACATTTCTCATTTACATAAGGCTAATATGGTGGACAATTTTCTGGAAAATGTTAATATTAACCGGAAGGATTGGCCAGCCAAATCTTCAACCTAAACCCTATAGAACACGCCTTGGACGCTCTTGTGGAAGCAACTCTCCATTCCTTTCCCCCAAACTCTGAAGGATCTAAAAACAAGCGTGCAAGAACTTGCTGCAGGAATAGTATCAGCTGTCACAAGGACTCCTGGCCCAGCCGGTATAGTGGTTATCGATGGGCCCGAGTTCGAATTCCGGAGAAGCCATGGATGTTGTAAGCCTACGGTTTATGTGTACGCTTAAGGTACTCAAAATAGGGGTAATAAAATAAAAATACTTGCGTAAATAAGGGGTGATAATACAAAATAGGAGTAATAAAATAAACTCTCTTAGCGGGCACTCAAAATCTACGGCAAGTCAAAAGCTCTCTCGAGAAGCTGGTAATAGAGAAAGGAGGGACCCTCGGACTGCCCCCTGGAGTATTCTCCCTCAAAATTGGAGCAGAACTGCATAATTAATGCGGAGGGATTATAGTTGTATGACCAGCGAAATTCTAGTGTCCCGCTCTTCTACTTGTACCTGTCATAAACTGTCTCATTTCCAAAATGATGTCATGTCGTTAAAGCTGTGCGACTATTAGAGGGAACATACTCCCAGTTGACCTTTTTTGGTTCGATGCTTCAATGTCTGTTTTAGATCTTTCTGTGCCGAAGATCTGAAGATTATTTACAATAAGTGAAAATTCTCTTTTTAACACCACTGCGTCAAATTATGGGAAATTATAAATTTTTGTCACTCCAACTACTGCATTTACTAAATTCAACTGCTAACCAATGTATAGCAATGTATTGTCTTGTGTTTAGAAATATGCATTTCATCATTCGCAAAATCGTACAACTTTAGTCTCATCGGAAAATTTTAAAATGAAGTGGCTTTTCCTTTTCGATTGTAAATAGCGAGGATTCACAGTTTGGCAATATTTGCTTACTGAAGTAAGGTTACTAACGGAAAAACATTGACATTGTTTCATGTTAGCGATGCATTTTTTTTTTTCCCTTAATATACTGTGTTTTGTTTCAGATGCGAATGTAAAAATGGAACTAGATGTGTCCGTGCCAAGGACGACATTTCTATCTCAGCTTACGTCCACCACTGCCGGCTACTCGGAGAACGCGATGTTTACTGGCCTTCAGCAAGCTACAGTTTACAGCCGATTTCTGTCAGCCGGACCTAAGAAGGCCGTTGGCTAAACAAACACCGAAACTGTATTCTTCATTAAGGCATTCGCAGTTTTGATTCATTTTTTATTTTTATTATTTATTGCTATTTAATTGATTTGCATTTGTGACTGTTATGTAAATAAGTGGGTGTCACTTCATAATCATTAAATTCTTAATTGTTGTATGCTTGTGCTCATTTCAAATCATTTTTCTACCCTCATACAATTCAATACTAGTCACGAATATTAATGAGACACATCCAAGTTGAAGCCGAAGATTTTTCCAACATAAGAGATATATCTCTTATGTTAATTATTTCAACATACAAAGAACAAAATGGAATGACACACTTTAAAAAACTTTTATTTATACCTCCTTTAAAAACAAGAACAGTGCTGTAAAAGATAAGCACAAGACATTTAACAGTAGCTAAAAGACAAAGCGCATCTACCTTTCAGAAAAACGGTTTCATACATGCTGTCCTACATTGAAAAAGATTCCACATTTTCTAGTGCAGTGGAGCTTCGATAAGCTGAAACAGAATGCCCTGACAGAACAGAATGAAACAGAATTTTGGAGCAACTAAATAGTTGAGTTAACGGCATTCTCAGCAAAATGGAAAACAGTAAAAAAGAATCTACATACACAGCATAAGTGCTGCATTTAGTGTCACAAAATCGTATGATTCTGATGGAGAATTAGACGGCATAATTTTACTTGAAACTAATAATTACATCTCACAAAATGCTAGTAATATTCTTTTTCTACATGTTGCTTCATCATTAACGTTATGTTTTAAATAAAGATTAACATTTCTTCTTTTAATATACCGTTATTAAGTACAATTTACAGAAATATATTAACGTTATATTTAGAAACTAACATTTTCTAAATGGCAGCCATTGCTAAGTCTCCACTTGACGTTCTCCAGACATTTCTCCATTAACCCTTTGCGGTACAATGTGTCCGGTCTGGACACACCTAAAAATTTCCTTCTGTACGCACAGAAAAATTGAATGAAAAGGGATTTATAGGTTACTCTGAACCTTCTTTATTTATAGTAGATGGCAGCTCAACACAAACCAGTCCATATATTTTAGCCATGTTGAGTTTTTTAAGACCTCATTTTTCAAAGAAATCTTCCAGATTTTTTTTAGGGTATAAAAGGAATTGTTAGAAAAGAAATTTCTATGTTATTTTTTTGGCTGTATACTAATTTCCATATTCTATATTAGTTTTAAACTTTTACCTTGAAATCTTGCCTAAAAGCAACCCTAGGTGTGCCCAGACCGGGCTCACCAATAATCTAGGGGTGTCTGCCGATAACATCGCGGACGAAAACGTCGCGGAGAAAACAACGCAAGGCGAAAACGTCGTGCTACAAAACATCGTGGAAGAAAACATCGCAAAGAGAAAACATCGTGGTACAAAACATCGTCGTCGAAAATAAGCGGTCCAAAAACTTCGCAGTTTAAAAACATCGCCGTCGAAAACATCGTGATAAAAAATAAAGTATCTACAAATCATCGCATGACGATAATATCGCAGACATGGTTTTTTCAGGCTTTAATAACTGTAAATGGATATTCCCATAATGATTTGTGAGCGCAAGATGTAAAGAAGGATAATTTTTACTTTCATATTCTTTATTAAATATCAAATTTTTGCTGAGAAAATATAAAGAAAACTTAAGATAGAAAATTAATGCAACTTATAGCACTTAATAGAATTTTAAATCGACATAGTTAACTAACAAAGACCATTAATAAATCATTTTTATAAAGATTTTACAGGTAATTTTTCATAAAAAGTATAATCTATTAAGTTGCATTTAATTTTCTATGCTTAAGTTTCCTTCTTATTTTTTCAGCAAAAATTTATTAGTTAATAAAAAAATGTGAAAGTAAAAATTATCCTTCCTTACATCACTTGCGCTCACAAATCATTATGGGAATATCCATTTACAGTTATTAAAGCCTGAAAAAAGCATGTCTGCGATGTTATCGTCATGCGATGATTTGTAGATATTTTATTTTTTTACCACGATATTTTCGACGGCGATGTTTTTAAACTGCGAAGTTTTTGAACCGCTTTATTTTCGACGACGATGTTTTCTACCGCGATGTTTTAGAACTGCGATGTTTTCTCCCACGATGTTTTGTAGCACGACGTTTTCGCCTTGCGTTGTTTTCTCCGCGACGATTTCGTCCGCGATGTTTTCGGCTGTAACCAATCTAGGACAACTGAGAGTATGTATTCTTTGTTTCTCCGCATCTCATCGGTCAGTTCATTGACAAAAATCCTCGTTTCAGCACTCTTTTCGAAGCTCTATTCAATCAGTGTGCCCTATTCGGGCACACCCACAGAAATAAACGATAAGTGCTATCTTCACAAAATTTTACTTGTGTACTTCTCTAGGCCTAAGTAGACTGCCTACCCTTTTTTTTCCCCTTTACTTTTTTTTTCTTTTTCTTTCTTTCTTTTTTTTTTTTTTTTTTTTAATCAAAGTTCCGACTTTAAAAGGTAGTGTGCCAGAAAGGGTTAACTCTCATTAGACTTCCAGCTCCAACTTTTGACTCGTTTGTAAAATATTAGCTTTAAGCTTTACGTGGTTAGCAGCTTATTTGCATGCACTTTTCTTTTTTAGGTAGCACCAGAGAAAAAAAAAAAAAAAAGGCTGTGTGGCCATTCAATCTGGTAATGAAATGGCCAACTGAAATTCAAAAGTCGAGAAAAATTGCCAAAAACTTCCCTTAGCAAAATCATTATTGAATATTGAAAATATTGAACCAATTGCTACTTATTAAAGCACTGGGTGTTACAGATTTTGACGTCTCACCATGAATTCTAATAAGGGTCTGTGTAAAGACGCTAGGACAGACTGTTATAAAATTCGAACACTGGGGAATCTTATACGTACTATTTTTATAGATATGTAAATAATAGTTCAATTAAATCGTATAAATCCATTTTTGACTCATTTACTGGTTCGGAGTTCTCAATTAGTGCCAGAGTTTGTGAAGTACTAGCATTTGGTTAAACACAGAAGAAGCAGTTCCGACATATCCGGTCATCCCTAATGCCTCGGTTAAGAACCCTTTAGAATGATTGTATCGCAAGAGATTTCTTTATTAGATGCCTTCAGAACATTGAAGAGCCGTCCAAAAGGTATAGTTTTTATTGAAGCCGACTGCGATACCAGAGGGCTCAGGTTCAAATTCCGGAAAAGGCATATGGTTGTAACTGTCCGACCCTTCATAGGAGGCAACGGTGGCCGTATGCCTTCACAATAAAATGCCCATTTTTGGGCTTAAGGAGTGGCCATTGTCGAATACGCAAGTACCCGCCATTAGATTTGGGGGAAAAAAATACTGAGGTTGCGGTACTCCCGTTCTGTCAAAGTAATTGATTTTTCGAAGTAAAATTGAACAACTTTCGTTCTTTGCTTGATGGTGAACCTTCCTATCATAAAATATTAAGTATTGGTTATGTACCCCTAAATATGTAGAGAACCTGGCATATGCAAATACACTTTAATCAATATTTGACACCACCGTGAATTTTCTTATCGCTATAAAAAATGTTTAAAAATTACCAAACAATAATCGCGGCAGAACTGAATTTTTTAAGAGCGAAACAATACTCCATTCGCTGATGACGACATACCTTTAAAGGAACAGCTCGGTGTCTAGAAGATGTGACAGTCTATTAAAGTAAAATCCTATATAGGGAATGAAAGAGCATTCATATGATTTCTTTGTCGTCATTATTTTTATAAGCTTAAGGTGTAAAAGTCATTAAATCCGTTCGTAACAGCGAAACAGGGTTACAATCAGAAAAGGTAAAGTTGCGCATGCGTAAATATGCAGCTTGTTGACCGAATGTCAATACGCGTTTGCCTCGCTGTGACTGATCAGTTCTTGTACCAGACTGGAATAAATGTTAAAGGTTAGATCATTTAGGCAAAATCCTTATACCAGTATCTGTGACATAGCAAGGTCTGGTTGCCTAGCAGTAAAGCTCTGCTTCTGCCACGTATAACCACAGAAACAATTAAGCCTTCATTCAATGATCCCTAAGATAAAACCTGCGAAGTTCCATTCCAGTAATTCTTAGCGTATCATTCACGCCACATGTAGTCTCACAAGAAACGAACAGTGCCGTGCCACACGTACATATCAGTAAGATACTCTTTTGCTAACAGTATGCTTTGGCGGTGGTGTTGCTAATGCATGCCGGAAGAAGCTTTTAAAGGATTATACCATGTGAATCCTACCATAAACAGCTTTTCACGTTACGCAGGTGGATCTAAGGCCTACGCGTTTGATTCTTCTAAGTTTACGTGGTCTTCTCGTTAATGCAAAGAAACCATTCGTAAGCTCTTTGACAATCCAATCAAACTAACCTTTGGTGTAATGATAAGACAACAGAGGAACTGAGGCATCCGCAAACCGATTATAGGTGGATAATTTGTGACACTACAGCAACTAGCTTCCTAAATTATTCGTGAGCTATTTGTCAATCAACGTAGTATTATATACTCCTAAGGCCTATGCAAACTCATGTACAGTTACATCTGCAACTGCTGAGATATACAGCCGAATACTGCCCTAAATAAGAGATTTTCGAGGTCGAAATTGCTATTACGGACGCTTTGAGCCAATAACCCATACTGCATTCCCTCAATATAGCTTGTCTAAATAATCAGATATGAAATTACAAAGCACACAGGCAGGAACGAAAGCTAGTTTAAAATCACAGCAAAGATCAAGTTTAAAGAATAAATTAACGCTTTGTGTTGACTTTCAGATATTTTGAGAAAATGTCACAAAGTTCTGGTAAAGGCTTCTCAGCAACCTAATATACTAATCTAGTTTCCAATTAATTTAACTGACACATAATTTCTGAATTGTACATTTCATTATTAAAAACGAAAAATATCAGAGATGTTAAATTTTCCATTTACATTCTATCCTATATGAATTATACGAATGTGATGTCATCAAAACTTTCTTTCTTATTAATTTATTTCTACTATGGCAAAACCAAAGAGAAATTTAGTAAAACGCAACACTATTTCGAGATAAATATTATTATAAACTGTACACTATTTAATGGAAAAATTTTCAAGAGAAGCATGACAACCTGATTTTTGTATTGATTAAAATTTGACAGTAAGTTTCA